CCCATTTTTAGCTGTTTCCTCTTTTAAATGCCTATCTTGGAGAGCTCTTTCCCCTTCTCTGTTGAGATTTGAAATATGGTTTCTTTTTTCAGAGACATTAGTAGGATTTCCTCTGGTGCAGAGATTAGCCGTAATCTCTGCTGATAGGCTGCTGGGAAATTGTGTGTTCTTCAGAGACGAGAGGGAGATTGAGATCACCAACCAGTAGTTGCTGAGCAAACTATGTTTTCTCTATTTTACTGGCCAACAGAGGAGGTCGAGTAGTGTAAAGTCCGAGATCTTAGGAAAGGAGGCAAGAATGCAGACTTTTTTTTTTTTAATCAACCAATCCTCTTTCTCATCCCGTCACTGATTTTAGTGTTTGCTTTCGCTGCCCAGGCCTTTTCACACAGTTGATCAGATTTCCTTTACTGATTTATGCCAACGATGTCTGGATGGATCTCTAGGCTTGTCTTGGAAAAGGGTAACCTAAGCTTCCAGAGTGGATTGACCTCAGCAGCTTCTCAGGTCTCTGTGGGGGTAGTCACAGCAACAAGTCTATGAATTGATGTCACACACAGACACCAGGAATCTGGGTCTTCCTCCGGGCGACACTGAACTCTGGTCTTTGTTTTATCTTAACCCAGACCAATAGGCATATGTAAGGAGTGGGGGCTGGGTAGCATGAAAGGTTCTTTGGCAAAAAGAATGGCAGGTTTCTTAAAACAACAAAAAGCAACCGAAATCAGACAGCTAATTATCGAGTCCTTCTCCGAGGACAAAAGTAAAGACAGCCTGACTAAGCAGCAAGAATCTGAGAATCCCGGCATCTCTAAACTAACCCAAGATCAATGGCGTATTGCTACAAAAATTAAGGAATATGTGCCAAATATAATGCCAGTGGGAAGCAGAATTGGTTTTTCTTCACTTTTTATTTAAATTCCAGTTAGTTAATATGCAGTGTAATAGTATTAGTTTCAGTTGTACAATATAGGGATTCACCAATTCCATAGATCATGTAGTGCTTATTGTACGTGCCCTCCTAAATCCCCATCGCCCATTTAACCATTCCCCCCACCTCCCCTCTCGTAACCATCGGTTTGTTCTCCATATTTAAGAGTCTGTCTTGGTTTGCTTCTCTCTCTCTCTTTTCATTTTTTTCTCATTTGTTTTAGTTCTTTGATTCCACATAAACAAAATCGTATGGTATTTGTCTTTCTCAGACTGACTTATTTCACTCGGCGTAATACCCTCCAGTTCCATCCATGTTACTGCAAATGGAAAGATTTCGCTCTTTTTTCATGGCTGTGTAATATTCCATTGTATATAAATACCGCATCGTCTTTATCTTTCCATCAATCGTTGGATGCTTGGGCTGTTTCCATACTTTGTCTGTTGTAGATAATGTTGCTGTAAACATTGGGGTGCACGTATCCCTTTGAATTAGTATTCTTATATTCTTTGAGTATTCTTATATTCTTTGGGTAAATACCCAGTAGTGCAATTGCTGGGTCATAGGGTAGTTCTATTTTTAACTTTTTGAGGAGCTTCCATACTGTTTTTGGCAGTGGTTACACCAATTTGCATGCCCACCAAAGAAAAATGCATGAGGGTCCCCCTTTCTCCACATCCTTGCCAGCACCTGTTGGGGAACCAAAATGTCTGTGAACCAGTTAACGTGATGTCTGAGACAGACTTTGAGGTAATTCATTTGTAGAAATGGAGGAGATTATAAATGACGTGAAATCGGCCACTAGTTTTTATATTTTTGAAGTTGGATGTAAGGGACATGAGATTTGCATTACCTTCCTCTCTATGTTGGGGCGTGTTTGAAAATTTTCTTAATATAACGTTAGCAAACAGCGTAGGTGGGACAAAATTCTAGGAACTTAACAAAGGCAAAGTCACGTAACGCAAAGAACATTATCTTAACTACAGAGGCAAAATAGAAATGCATAACCAAATTAGGTGAAAAAATACAGTCCAACCTTCAGAATTTAAAATAAAAAGCAATCCCAGGTAATACCTGGATAAAAAAGGAAATGAAAAGTATAAAACACAATTGACTAAATACTTATTAAAATTACAACAGTGCGTGTGAAAACGTGAGACTTGACCAGATCTCTACGTAAAGGGGAAATAATAGTCTCAAAATGCTTTTATTACTTGAGAGGAGAGATTGAAAATAAATGAAGCATCCTGCGAAATAAATCAGAAGAACAACAGAGCATAAAAGGAAAAAGAATAAAGGGAGCATTAAAAAGCTAAAATGCAGGGGCGCCTGGGTGGCTTAGTCGGTTAAGCGTCCAACTTCCGCTTAGGTCATGATCTCGCGGTTCGTGGGTTCGAGCCCCGCGTCGGGCTCTGTGCTGACTGCCAGCTCAGGGCCTGGAGCCTATTTCAGAGTCTGTGTCTCCCTCTCTCTCTGACTCTCCCCTGCTCACACTCTCTCTCTCTCCTAGAAATAAATTTTTAAAAATATTTTTTAAAAAAAAGCTAAAATGCAAACAAATGAATTCAAAAAGATAAACGAATCTAGAAAGCGAAAGAAAGGCAGAAAATACAAAATTACGGGAGACTGTAAAATTACAGTCAAGCCTGGCATGTAAGGCTGGGTGACTTTTAGAAGCATCTTATTGCCAAAATTGACACAAGAGAAAATATTTACAGAAACAAAAACAAAACATACAAAAACCCATAGAAGACACTGAAAATGTATTTGAAAATTCTAATTTATTTCCTAAAAAGCAGCACCAGTATTAGATGGCTTCCATAGGTAATAACCACCAAATTTAAGGAACGGAAAATTAGTTTCTACTTAAACTTCTCTAGGATATAGAAAAATACGAAACATTGCTCAACTCATTTTATTTGTGGAATAATTCGTATTCTAACAATTGATTCAGCTTTTAGTCAAAAGAAAAAGGGCCGGAACAGCTCGTAATGAATATGAATGAAAATCCAAAAGAAAATAATGATGAACCAAACCCAGGACTATATTAAAAGAAAACTACATCAGAAATGCTTTGTATTCCAGGAATAAAAGTGAATCCAGTGTAAGAGCATTTAGAAGTTCGATTCATCCTACAGTGGATGAAAGGACAGATTTAGTCCAGTCATTGAAATAAATCCCTCAAATACATTTGTTCTAGTAATGATTTGTGCAACACCTATTTCTTGTAATAGAAAGATAGTGCTTTTATATCAGCTGGGGGATTTAATGGTAAAGGAGTACATTTACATTGGAAAAATAAATGGGTTTTATCTCTCTTGCTCACACTTTTAAAAACTGTTTATTATGTATTTTTAATTTTTTGAGAGAGAGCAAGTAAGGGAGGGGTAGAGAGAAAGACATGGAATCTGAAGCAGGCTCCAGGCTCTGAGTTGTCAGCACAGAGCCCAACGCGGGGCTCGAACTCATGAGCTGTGAGATCATGACTTTAGCTGAAGTCAGAGGCTTAACTGACTGGGCCACCCAGGCACCCCTGTTTATTTATTTTGAGAGAGAGAGAGAATGAGTGGGGAGGGTGCAGAGTGAGGGAAAGAGAAAGAGAGAGTGAGAGAAGCCCAAGCTGGCTCTGCACTGTCAGCTCGATGTGGGACTCGATCCCACAAACCATGAGATTATGACTTGAGTTGAAATCAAGATTCGGATGCTTAATCGACTGAGCCACCCTGGCGCCCCTCTCCTACTCAGACTTTTTGGCCCTGAAACCCATCAGTTCTCAGTAAGACCACATGCTTGAACTGGGTAGCAACGTCTGTTCCATCAAAACTCTGGTGGCATATTTTCCTTTCAGCATGGCAAAGTCATGGTGACGTTCATCAGGAAAAATGAGCAGATAAGAATCAAAACCATTCTGAACAGAGAGCCAGAATCCTCTTTGTCCTGGTGAAAATATAACGTGATAATAACACGATAATTAATCCAGCCGATGGAGATCGGAACCAAGATACGTAGACTGTTGGAGTGGCACCTTTTCAAATTATTAGCTGAGTTTAATAAGTCTTGTTTGCTGCAGGAACATTCAGAAATTCTTTTTTTTTTTTTAATTTTTTTATGTTTATTTATTTTTGAGAGAGAGAGAAACTGGTATGAGTGGCGGAGAGGCAGACACAGGATGCAAAACAAGAAACTCACTGAATATTTACTGATATTTATCAAACCAAATTATGGCCGCAGGGGAGGGGCAGAGAGAGACACAGAAACTGAAGCAGGCTCCAGGCTCTGAGCTGTCAGCACAGAGCCTGACATGGGGCTCAAACTCACAAACCGTGAGATCATGACCTGAGCCGAAATCAGACGCTTAATAGACTGAGCCACCCAGGCGCCCCGAACATTCAGAAATTCTAAAGGGAAGTATGCTGGGTACTGTGCAGTGTGGCATTATGGTAAATATAATTGCTGTGTTTATAAGAAAACTACGGAAAGTGTTCAGGGCACTTTGATACATCTCATAGTAGGATGATTGTGTTTATTATGATAGTCTGATTTGCCTGAAGAATTTCATCACGGTTATTTTCTTCCAGCATTGTGGGTTAACAATAATAATAATAATAGGCGCCTAGGTGGCTCAGTAGGTTAAGCCGTGACTTAGGCTGTGGTCATGATCTCATGGTTTGTGGGTTTGAGCCCCAAGTCGGGCTGTGTGCTGCCTGCTTTGGATTCTGTGTCTTCTCCTCTCTCTGCCCCTCCCCTGCTCCTGCTCTCTCTCTCTCTCCCTCTCTCAAAAATAAACATTAAAAATGTTACCAAAATAATAATAATACATATATAATAAAATGAATACTATAATTAAGAATTCCAATTATATAATTGTATATATAATTATTGTGTATAAATGTATTAATATACTTATATTATAATATATAATGATGCTTATTATTTAATTATAATAAAATAATAATGATAAATGGCATAGGAACGCATCCCTCCTCGGAATGAGCTCTCTCTCTCTCTCTGTACAGCTGGGCAGGTCGCTCCTGTTTTAGGCTCTCACGTGACCTTTTGCTTTCCCCAGGGACCTGATGCCGCGGACCCTGGACGGGCAGATCACCATGGAGAAGACGCCCAGCTACTTAGTGACGCGCGAGGCGCCCGCGCGCATCTCGGCCATGTCCAAGGACACCAAGCTGATCGTGGTGGTGCGCGACCCGGTGACCCGGGCCATCTCGGACTACACGCAGACGCTGTCCAAGCGGCCGGACATCCCCACCTTCGAGAGCCTGACGTTCAAGAACCGCACGGCGGGCCTCATCGACACGTCGTGGAGCGCCATCCAGATCGGCATCTACGCCAAGCACCTGGAGCACTGGCTGCGGCACTTCCCCATCGGCCAGATGCTCTTCGTGAGCGGCGAGCGGCTCATCAGCGACCCGGCCGGCGAGCTGGGCCGCGTGCAGGACTTCCTGGGCCTCAAGAGGATCATCACCGACAAGCACTTCTACTTCAACAAGACCAAGGGCTTCCCCTGCCTCAAGAAGGCCGAGGGCAGCGGCAAGCCCCACTGCCTGGGCAAGACCAAGGGCAGACCCCACCCCGAGATCGACCGCGAGGTGGTGCGCCGGCTGCGCGACTTCTACCGGCCGTTCAACTTGAAGTTCTACCAGATGACCGGCCAGGACTTCGGCTGGGATGGATGACGATATAATTTAAAAAGAAAAAAAAAAAATCAAAATATAATATATTTTTGTACCGATCGGTAGAGAAGAAGGCAGTTTAATATTTGTGCTGAACGTATTTGTTTCGGTATTTTGTTTTTCGGAGTGAATGTTAAGAGCGCGTTTTCGCCTGGCCCCCCTCTCGCCTTCCAAAAGCCAACATTTGGGTCAACGAAAGAGGAAAGCCTCACTGTCTAAATACTTTCCATTTTCTACTTTTATTTGATGGGTTCTAGACACGGTTATAAACCATGAGCATTGGTTGCCATTAAAACTTTGAGGAAAGTCCTGAGGGTAAATCGATCTCTCTCTCTCTGTCCCCACCTCTCTGTCTATTGTCTGTCCTTTCACAAGTCCCAGATAAAATGATCTCTCCTTGTGTTTCCTCCCTTGCGCCACTTTTTAAACAGCAGTTCCCAAGTAATAATCTCCCTGTGTTTGCACACCACTTCCCAGTTACCATAGAACTTGTGAATCAAGCACCTTTTTCCATCCTTACATGAATGTGGGGTAAGCATAGAGATTATGATTCCCATTTTACGGATGATAAGGCAACTGAGTCTCAGGGACGTTTAATGACTTCTCATAAGGCCGGACGGTGGACCTTGGGTAAAACCCCATCTTCTACGTTCCTTGTATCCTGCCACTTTTTCCAGAGAAAACAGGAAACGAGTCACCTCTGCTTTTAGAAACAGTTAGTTTGAGGATGATTGGAGATAGGACAGAGAGGGTGTCCTATTGCCTTCTAAAGTTCCGGGCTGGTTTTGTGACACTCAGTCACAGAGAGTCACCTGTGTCCAAAGACAGCACTCAGGTAAGGACACAGCATCTTTTTTTTTTTTTAATTTTTTATAGTTTATTTATTTTTCAGACAGAGACAGGGCATGAGTGGGGGAGGGGCAGAGAGAGAGGGAGACACAGAATCTGAAACAGGCTCCAGGCTCTGAGCTGTCAGCACAAGCCTAATGCAGGGCTCGAACCCACGAACCGTGAGATCTGACCTGAGCCGAAGTCGGACGCTCAACAGACTGGGCCACCCACGTGCCCCAGGACACATCTTTTAAGAGCCAGTCTTGGCTTGTTGAAATACCCTGAGATATAGCAATCTTGGTTTGGTTGAGGTTGAGAGAAATTATTGGATTCGTTTCTGGAAAACTAGATGGATAATCGCACTAGGAATGGGGGAAAAAATGGTAGGAGCGTAACTTACCTATTTGTGGTTTTCACCGTATTTTTTTTTTTTAAGGAAAAACCCACTTCAACAAGAGCTTATGAGTATGAATCTTTTATGTTACCTCTTTTTTTTTTTTTAACAAAGAAAGCTGGTTTCTCTTTGTAATATGTCATTGCTAATCTTGGAGCTAATAGTAAAAAAAAATCAATAAATGTCATTATTTTTCACAGGTGGAAGATTGTCACCGTCACTTTCTTCCTCCACCCCCCACTTCCGATTCGTACCAAGGATAACCAAATATTCATTAGTATTTGGAAAATATTCTAAGAAATATAGATGTGGATAAAATGCCAGTTTTTTTTTCTTTTCCCATCTATTTCTCTCCTCCCCCTCCCTTTAAATAGCTCAAATAAATCAATAGTTTATTAAGAGTATTCCTTTCCTCTCTGAGTGGGCATTAACAAGATTAGCATTAATGGGAATTAAATTGGTTTAGAGAGAAGCACATATGCACGAAATATATAAAACATTTATAATTAGTCTGTCAGCAACATTTTATTACAGTGCTAAGCCCAAGAGGAAAATGTCTCCCATCTCATGGAAGTTTTCCATATCTGCCAAAAATTTAAAGGCCCAGACCCTACAGTATTCAAAAATAAGAGTTATTTTTCTTCTCCGGCATTGTCACACAAAAGAAACTAGAGTCGTCTGCAAATATGCACCACGTATGACTCCGCCGTAGACGCCATTATCAGGGGAAATAAATCTTTGCTGAGAGACGTAACACGGGATTCAGATGAAGGGGAAAAAATTACTTAAGTTTTGAGATATTCTGACATTGCTCCAAACCCTTGACTTCCTGTACAAATATCCCATTTATGAGAGTTAAGAAAACACCAATTCCACGTCTCCTTTGCCCCGTTGATTTCCTTGCCTTCACTGCCCTTAATTTTCCAACGCAGCACCCGTTTTTGGTATACGTAAATCCTCACTTTCGGAAACGAGAGACTCCTCTTAAACTCTTTGGTGTCTTTTCTCTCAACTCATTTTCTTCGTACTTCTGATTCATTGGTAAGCGTTTGCCTGGGATTATTGCACAAGGAAGCTAGTGCGTTTGACAGTTGTATTCCGCCATTTCTCTCTTTGTGTTAAGAGATAATAAAAGAACGGAATTGAGTTCAAAATACCTCTTCTTGCATGTAGATTTCTTTGAAATTCATATTATTTTTCAAAAATGAATGACTCTAGAGCCCTCCAGGAGAGCTTTCTAACTTCTAAAGTTTCACAAGAGGGTCCAAAGTTACAGATCCCAGCCAAACAGACCTAGAGCCAAACAGACCTAAAAGTTTCCTCCAGAGCAGAAATTGCACTTACTCTTGCAGTGCGTGGACTTGGCTTCAGATTTCTTTTGTCCATTTAGCTATACCAAATAATAGGTTTTTTTAAATTGTTTTAGAGAGAGTGCAAGTGGGGGAGGGGCAAAGGCAGAGGGAGGGAAAGAATCCCAAACAGGCTATATGCTCTGTGCAGAGCCTGACACAGGGCTAGACCCCTTGACCTTGAGATCATGACCCGAACCAAAGTCAAGACTCAAACACTCAACCTACTGGGTCCCCCAAGCATCCCAGGTTTTGCTCTTGCTGTGAACCTCTTTGCCAAGCTTTCTCTACGTTGTCTGCTCCATAGCCGTGCTGACCTCCTACACTCTTCTTAGAGATGGAGAATTCTCTCCCCAGAAGAGCAACCCGAGTTCTAGAACTTCATTCTGAGCTGTTTGCCTTTGAGGCCCCAGCTATGGTGTATAATTCTCTAGGTAACTTAGTAACTTCGAATGCAAATTCAGTGATTCTAATCACTGGAAGTTAATAAGCCTCTACAAAATGGATAGTTCTTACTTGCAGAGTAATAATCCTGCTGTGATTTTATTTTCAAAGATCTTCAAAGTCGGGATAACCCCAATGGATCCATCCACCATTTGGCGCTTAAATCCTTTCTGTAACTGGTTTCCATAGAATCAGGGAAGAAAAGAGCTTAGGATTGCCAGACATGGTTAAGTGTGGCTGAGATTCAGTCCAATGAAATTCTTCTCGTAGAAATAAAAGACCCTACCCCTATTTTCCTATTGTATCCTACAATCACTGAAGAAGAATGGACCATTTTGAACCCAAACATCAAGCCCTGTTGGGGAAACATCCTAATTATTGTAGCATATCTGGTCCTTGAAATATCAACGTGCAAACGGATTTGCATTCAGACTTGCAACTGTATGGAAGAAAAACACAGACAGGGAAATTCGTAAACCTCTTTGTCACATCATGGAAGGTTGGGATGATGGACCCACCCTTTAAAGCTTGAACATTTGTAGAAATTATGGGGCAGAGCAACTTTAGCACAGAGTAATAAGTTAAGGGATTTTAGTTATGTCAGGAGGAAGTAAAACTGAAGATAGAAATTGTTTCTAATATATGGACCCATTGTGAGATATTAGGAAATGTTAGTACATTTCAGGCTGTCAGTCTCAGTTTTCCTTTCCAGTTGCAACTGTCCGTTGTGTTCCTTTAAGAGCTGTATGTTGAACAACTTAGTCTCCGCTAGATTGCTGTCAAAATAAAAGGTGGCAATTAATAGGGAACATACCTTATGCTCTTAGCTCTTTACATCCCACCCTTCCTGGGTCTGATATGTGCATTGGAAAGATCATATCTGAGGAATGGTGCCCTTTATTAGCTCTGCCTGTTTGATATGTGACCAGACTGGATTTTTAGCATGGTGCTAGCTGTTAACTCCAAAGAGGGCTTTTCGGTCACTGTCTGGTCCACACATTGACACACTATAGTCTCTGTGCTTCACTTTCCGTTTTTTTATTTTTTAAAAAAGTTTATTCATTTTGAGAGAGAGAGAGAGGCAGAACACGAATGAGGGAGGGTCAGAGAGAGAGGGAGACACAGAATCCGAAGCAGGCTCCAGGCTCCGAGCTGTCAACACAGAGCCCGGCGTGGGTCTCGAGCCCACAAACCATGAGATCAAGACTTGAGCTGAAGTCGGATGCTTAACTGACTGAGCCACCCAGGCGCCCCCGCTTCCCTCCTGAAATCACTTTCTAGTAAGCTCCGAGTGTCTACCATCCCTAGGGGTTTGTCTTCATCGCAAATAGGACTGATGTGCTGTTTTCTCTTCCGACCTATCCCCACTCCACGCTGCCTTCACTTTCTAGTGCCTTCTCTCCCTATGTGTCCGATGATTCCTGGCATCCCCACCTCTACTAGCCTATGCTCTCTTCAAATGCACCATGCTCAATGGTGTCCACTTCCTCCTTCAGACTTCTGGGGAAAACTACTTTCAGCTTCGGCTTTAGGGAAAATAGAATGAATGATGTAGACACCAGGAGTGATGAAACAGAAAATGCAAGCACGTGGGCACATTTTTTGACAGGAGACGGATGTGGTGTGGAAAAGACTCTTAACCAGGTTTCCAGTACCCCACCCACCCCTCACCACAGGCCTGAAGAACAAGGTCAACAGCTTGGCATCCCACTTCTGAAGGGTTGTCTGTCTCTGGTCTAGGCAGTAGCGTTTTCCCAGAAAGTCTTATCTAAGCTCATATTTCTTTATTTCGAGCCTGCAACAGCTGGTGAACCACAGAACAGTAGGAACCAAGAAAATTTTCACTGCCATTTTTCAACATGAACGAGAGTTCTTGATGGACTTCCATCCACTGAGACCTTTAGAGTTCAAACATTTTTTTTAAAAGAGATTCACACCCAACACAGCTTAACGCAGGGCTTGAACTCACGACCCTGAGATCAAGACCTGAGCTGAGATCAAGAGTTGGACGTTCAACCTGCTAAGCCATCCGGGCGCCCCTAGAGTTCCAACCTAATTCTCTTGGACAACTTGATGGTAGTCTTTAAATCTCAGATCAGTTCTTTGTTAGGAAACATCCAACTAAATATTCTGTAAGAACAGCGACTTACTTTATGTAAAATGATTCCAAGCATTCTTCCATCCAACTTTAGGTTGGAATAACTTTCTCGTTTTTCCTTTCTTTCTAGATTAAGAAAAAGTTTATATATTACCACATTTTCTTATTTCCAACAAACTCCACATCTCCCCTCCACAGAATTACTTGCAAACGTCTTTTCATCCTTTCTCTTTCCACCTGCCTTCCGACCATATCATTTCTCTTCTGCATGAACTCTTACATTTTAATATTTCCTGCTTCCCTGTATCCAGATCCTTAAGTGAAAAGTTCTCTTGCGTCTTTAATTCTGTTTTATTCCTCCTTGGTTTCCAAAGAGACTCGTAATTCTGCCCTCCCCTTTTTTTTTTTTTTGGCAACCACCTGGCCCCAGAATTATACCTTAGTTCTCATTTCAAAAGTTGGCCTTTATTCTACCTTCTTTGATCTCCTTTACCTTTTCTCAGATGGTGCCTTGCCATTTTGAGAAAAGTTCTCTTTAGAGAAACATCTCCTAGGGCTCATGGGTGGCTCAGTTGGTTAAGCGTCTCACTTCGGCTCAGGTCATGATCTCACGGTTCGTGGGTTCAAGCCCCGCATCGGGCTCTGTGCTGACAGCCAGCTCAGAGCCTGGAGCCTGTTTCAGATTCTGTGTCTCCCTCTCTCTCTGACCCTCCCCT